AAACAGGCTTTCTACATTAAGAAGAAAATTTCCCATCGTGTTTGTGTTTTTTTAAAGCTTTAACAATCCACTTGTTTTCTCATCCTAGATGGCTCCTTACATGGGGTGACACTTAAAGAGTACAAGGAGGCAGATCTTGGAAGAGTCAATATCAGCAGTTCTCAAACCCTCTAGTCCCAGGACCCTTTTACATTCTTAAAAATTGATGAGCTAAAGCAACTTTGGATTATCCTGGTTATAACAATATTTATGTATTAATAAACTGGGGAAATTTTTAAACAGAGTAATACACAAGCATACATGCCATGTGCCATCAGAGCAACATGTCATCATATATCATGTACCTCGGGACAACTCCATTACACAGTTGTTAAAGTATGAGAATGAAAGACAAATCAAATAATATCTAAGCATTATTGAGAAACTCTTAACAGGCCCTCTGAAAGGGTCTTGGAGACCCACAGGCTTCCCCAGAAAACACTTGGAGAAGAGAGGGCTGTCTGCTCTACAATATAACTGACAGAAGTTTTACCAGACAGAAATCTTCAGTTGGTGATTTATTTTTCCAACCCAGAGACCATTTTCACAATAAATAAGATTGCCACCAACAACATTCCATTTAAATTCTTGGATAATATGGACCAAATATTAACTCCTTCTAATATATGTATTCATTCTTACAAAGAAATTCATTAATATTACATTCTTGTTTTCAGTGCCAATAAGATATAAGCTAGACAAAAATTGTTAAGATTTATAGAATCTATTATGATCAAAGACAGAAGAACTCTCCCCTTTCACCCACTCCCTAAAACAAATGGAGAAGTTCAATTAATACAGAGTAAGGCAGCTAATTTTTTAAATAGATTTTATATTTGTAAGTACATGAGCACACGTTACAATTATAAGAACAAAATTATACCTGGTTACTTATGCAGTAGTAGAGTTCATTTAATTGGGCCACAGAGACACTCAGACCAGGGTAATGACATTAAAGTGTTTGGGGGAAATGCACACATCTAAGGACTCATAAATACTATCAAGAGGCATACTTACCTACTTTCTCAAACTGGCCAGTAAATATCAAAGTCAATGAATTAAAAATGTGGATTTTTCTCCCCACTGATCAACAACTCCCTAACAACACACACACACACACACACACAGAGGTAATGTCAGAAGAACCTTACTCATATTTGAATGTTTTACATTTTATTATAAAATAGGGTATATTCTATAAAGAAATGCATTTGCATAAAAAAAAGAAATAAATGCAATAGTAATCGAAGCATAAATATGTCCTTGAAGGCAAACAAATGCTAAATTACAATACAGCTTCTGCCTTTAGGGTTCTTCCCTATGTGAGCAAATGCATATTTTGAATGCAATGCAAATCTAAGACATCAAAGGGAAAATAGCCATTTGCAAGATTTAAGGAAAGAGCATCTCCCTCTAACTCCAATTGCTCTGGCTGGTTCATACCATGCTAAATTAAGGCTGCATAGCATTTCTCAAAATCACTCTTTGTTCTTAAATCACAAAAATCACATTCCGTTTTTCTTACTGAATTCTAAGCAAAAATGCCCCACTTCTAACAGTAACTGTCACTCCTCCATGGCAGCCCTTTTCAAAGAGAGTTTCAAACAGCGGTTAAAATGGTCCAAGTGAAATCTGAAAAACAATTCAGTTTACCATTATGTATATTATTTGACTAACTTCAATCCTATTGATTTTATAACCCTTTTTATCTCCTATTTAGGATTTCCTTGGCTATAGCTCACTAAGGAACCAAAGGTAAATCAAGTTCATCAAAATTGTGCCTTTCCTAATTACCAGAAACAATGCCAGGCACAGTAGCTGGAGCTAGTTAAGTCTCATACTAGTATTCCCAATAGAAAGGAATATTTAAGTCTCCGAAATGTGAGATCATTATGAAGAAAATAATTTCTAAAAGACCCGCCATTCATATTTTGAGGAGCTCAATCTGAAGGATAATCACACCAAGCAACTTAAAAGGAGACATCAAAAGCATTTACCCATCGGGCAAATCACATCCTGGTTTATCACTCTTGAGGCCAAGGTGCCTGATTGCAGCCCAACATGTCTTTCAAAAAAATGTAAATAGTTCACATAAACCTTTATGCTACTCATTCCTCTTACCCCAAGTTCACACAAATAGTCCAGTTAACTTTGTACCCCAATGGAGCAGGTTATTGACTATTTGGTGATAAAGAAGTGCTAAGGAATGGCATGCAAGCATTGTAACACATTCACCTTCAGCAAAAGACAGCACAATAATACACTGACACAGTTCTAATGACATCAGGACCTGTGGAATGTATGACTGCTAGGAAACACATGCTGCTAGGAAACAAAGAACAGATCTCATCAAATCTTCTAATGTAAGGACTGGGAATCATGGCGATTAGATCTTCTAAAATGAGAGCCCAAGTATCCTTTAATCTTCAGAAATATTTGCAGGTGTAGGCTCCAACACAAACCCTCTAGAAATGAAAACAAATATAGGAAGCTTGATTCTCAAGAATTCTCTAAGTTTCCTCTTAAGATGACCACCACCAGCAAGATCTCACAAAAATATAACTTAAAATCAGGCATCAGGGGCTCTGTATTCCTTTTTTTTTTTTTCCCCAAGAAGACAGGATCTTAGAAAGAAATCTACAAATTATAGTAGCTAGAAACAACATACCTTTTTTACCCTTGCAGTGCTACACTTTTTAAAACAAGATAGAATATAGCCATTTGCAACAAACACCAAAGCAGTCAGATCTCCTCTACAACTAAAGCATTTAATATAGTTTAATTATTGAAACTGAAAAGCAGTTTCAACTTTTTAAAACTGTTTATCTTTGTACATTTTTAACCCTTGCTTTTGTTACAAAAAAAAAAAAGAGAGAGGGTGAAGCAAAACAGAGATTGAGAGATATTTCAACACAGATATCCTTTTAACTCCTACACAAATTACCTGGAAAGCTTTTTGGTGATACCATAAAAGAAGTGACAATTTTATCTATAATCCACACACAAACTGGGTGCTAGAACTCCAGGTCATTTAGTATCATCACAGATTAAAAACATACCAGGGAAATCTGGCTAAATTCTGTTTAATTTCATAGGGAAATAAAGAATATTCTCCAAATGAAAAATTACTAAAGAAGTATTTCTTTGTAGATTCTAAAATGACATTATTTAGCTAGTGTTGCTAGCCCATATGACACTAAATTAGCAGACTGCCTCTTTACTTCAGAGCAAAACACAGAAGGCAATTTTTCCTTCCTGCCAGAGTCTACGCGTCTCCTCATTTCCCCAACAGCTGGCTGGAAGGATGTAAAATCAGAGGGCAAGAAGGCTTCTACTTCCTAATGAGTAACCCTTCCAAGGAAAGTAAACACAACAGACACCACTGGGTTCAGGCGTAAAGGAAACTGTGGCAGGGCTGCTTCCACCGTTGTTTACAATGTGCTCCAACGACCGCAGGCAGGATCACACACAGGCAAAAGGGAGGAGACGACCAGAGGTGGCTGGCAAGCCTCGAGTTCACCCACTTGCTCTGATATCTCTGGCCATAAATAAAACAGCGCACGTTTCTATGGGAGCGAGGAGGAAAGTGGCCATAGACTTACAGGGACCAGGGGTTATTATGCCGGCTTGACTCGGTTATTTTAATCTGCCCGAGAGATAACTACTCTTGGTCCTCATCAGGGCCAATCTGGGGTGCGTGGAGCGCTGCACCAGAGATTCTCACGCGCTGCACGCATCTAGCCGAGTTCCTCCTCATTGGGAGAAAGGGGACACAGTGAGGCTTTCCCGCTACCCCTACGGGGCCCCCGCGGCCTCCTCAAACCAGATTTTCCAGTTAAGCGGATCCCAGGCGATTTCGACACGCAAGCTCTCAGCTCAAGTACTATCAGCTCAGTCATCCCCGCAAATACCTCCCGGCCATCCCCTGAGCGCACGAACGCGTACACAGACACGCACACGCCGCACCGCCGCCAACTAACCCTGGTAGCGGAGGTCGCCGCGACCCCACACACATACACACCCACCCACCTATTCTGCTGGGGGGCATGGCACGCTTAGCAGCTGCTGAGCTCCAGCGGCGGGGGCGCGGTGGCACCGACGCTCCGCGGCAGCCCGAAGCCTCCCCTTCTCCCGTGAGAAGCTCCGGGGCGCCTGCCCGCCTGCCTGTAACCCAGTCGACCGCGGCCACCAATGTTCTGCCCACCCCGCCACGGCGACTCGGCCGCCGGGATTCCTGCAACACCGCCCCCCCCCGCCCCGTGCCCACCCCAACACCGCGCCGCCCCGGGCCACCCACGAAAGTGGCAGCTTTCTCCAACCAAGCCGCCTAACAAAGCCTGGGCAAGCAGGTCTAAACCAAACTGCCGTGAAGGGGACATAACAGGAGTGCCGGGAGACAGCGCGGCTCTGCCAGTCAGGGGCGCGACCTGGGCAAACACGTCCACCAAGGGTGCTCCAGGCTAGCGACTGGAGAGGATCGCGACAGTCTCGCCGCCCGGGAGTCTGCATCACTCCAGAGCCCAGCTCCTCACCGGGTGTCTGTCGGTCCTCCAGCCGCACCGGCTCCGGGTGGGCGGAGAGAAGGCGCCCCCTGGTCTGCTTTCAGCCCCCTCCAGAGGATGACACTGGGGTGAGCGAGGAGGGAAACATTCCCGCGGGGTGGAAACCGTTCCTATTCCCCAGCGTGTTGGGCTGAGAATGCGCCGAGTCTGCTCTCCCCTTCATCCCGCTTAGCCGCCAAATCGCCCAATAGCCGGAAAAAACTCGAACCCGTGCCAAACCCCAGCGCCCACCAGCCAGGAGGCTCCCTTCCTTCCCCGCATCACAATCGGATGAGTGTGTGTGCGGGCAAGTGAGTGAGTGGGAGGGTGAGTGTGCGTTGAGTCCTGCACCCTAGCCCCGGTTGCCCGCCCCGCGGAAGCCAGCCACCACTATTAGGAAGAGTGAGAAGAATAAATTACCTTTCGTAACCGCCGGTCCCTGAGATCGTCCCATCAGTTGCTCAACAACCTGCAGCAGGGTGCAGTTTCCACAATCCAGCCGTGGGGCCCGGGGCAAAAGACCGATCAGCCGCCGCGAAGACACCCCCACTACACGCGGCAAAGAACGATAACCAAAGCGCAGAGGGGCAGCAGGAGGGTGTAGACCCCAGCCAAGGAAACAACAAAAAGTCTCTCCTTTCCCCTCTTCTGCTCCACAGCCACGGAGAAAAGGGAAGAAGAAAAAAAAAAAAGGCAAATGCTTGTCTTCCTTTATGTTTCCTAGTTTCACACACACCGAGGGGATAAAAACGGAGCCAAGAGAGGAGGGTTCAAATGTCTCTCCCAGTCCACAGTTGCACAACTTCGGAGTCAAGCTCTGTCTCCAGCAGCAGCTGAGGGACCCAAGCGGCAGCTATTAACATGCGGCATTCATAGCTGGGGCTGCTGCTGCTTCTGCTGCCGCTTAAGAAAAGACGCTGTTGAACAGACCAAAAAGCTTCCACCAT